ATAAAGGCCTCCCCTGATTATAAGCTAGCTGGAGCCAATTTCCGGGGCAGACGTGTTGCTAAGACGGTTGCTAAGGCAAGCTGGAGTTTCCCCCACAAACGAAGGCATCTGATTGGTCAATCCTTATATGGCTCTTACTGTATCTGGATTTACAAACACCAGGACCATAGAAAGCGTCAAACCACATTTAGTTTGAAACCAAAATGGTGTCCTAAGTCAATAGGAGCTTGAGTAGTTGGCGCAAAACCCAGCAGGTGGATTCCATCAGTAATCAGTGCTTAGGAACTACAGCAGCAGTGTGACCACCCGGAGAGCATATTACATACTGCCCCTTTAAAACTCATTATAGACTTGTTTTTTCCTTCGCTCTGCTTGAAAAACATTATATATTTCAGTGTTTTTCAACCAGTGGCACGTTGGTGTGCCTTCAGATGTTTATTAGTGTGCCTCGGAAAATATCAAATATCAGCATCTTGGTCAAAATCATGTGAAAAGTAAATAATGTGAGATGATTTGAAAGATTTTTGTGCTTGTTTGATTTTCCAAATAATACACACTGATGAGAATGACTTTCCTTTATTAAAACTGTGGGACCTACCAAACATTTAAAGGAGTCCTCAAACATTGGTTGAAATCAAATCCCATAGATGACCTGCTCTTCCTTTCTCTTTCTCTTTCTCTCGTCTTCTAAATTCATATGTCTTGCTTGTCGACTTGTTGTTTGTACTTTTACTAACTGTGTGTTTCGTACCTGCCTTAGGACAATGGATGCACTTTAGCTATTGTATTAATTCCAGAATATTTATGTTGACGCTGTTTGCAGACACATTGATGAATAAGTACTGTCCTGAATTCAAATAATAAAAAAATAAAAAATAAATAAAAGACTGTAGAGTTTAAATTTTGTATCAAATTCAGTTGGTGCTGTGCCATATGGTAAAAATGCCACAGAGTACCTTTAATGCTCACACAGAGTACCCTTAATGCTAACATGGAGGTTTACCTGCTGGCTGGAGTAGTGTGCGCTGAATCCCACCTGGGACATCTCCATCTTGAAGTTTTCCCCTCCTTTCCCAGTTCCTTCAAAACAGAGACGTAAATAAACACATCCTGGAGCAGTGAGCGGGACAAGCCGAGGCCTGTCGTCCCAAACCCCGGCTCTGGCAGCAGACCTTCTATGTTGAAAATGCGAGTCCCCAGAGTTCCGGCGATGTTGGAGAGCGCCGCCTCCTCAGACACGTTGAAGAAGAACTTTTCCGTTGGCAAACTCGCGATGGACTGGATTTCTTTGATCAGGTCTTTGGTGTCGATGTTGTTCCGGTTGTAGTAGCCCAGGACCTGAAGCGAAACACACAAGACGATTTTTACCACTGCATCTGGAATCTCTCAAAGCAAAAGTCAGTCTATAACTACTGACAGAAACTGGTTTATTTCATGAAAAAAATATATATAGTTTGTAGGGTTGTATTGAGTATTTTCTTGTATAAATCAGGTCCTCAGTTTCTAGGTTTGACGTCTCTGGATAAATACTCAAAATCGTCTGTTGAGAGTATGGCAGTCGATAAGGAAGAAATCATTAAGTTTATTAAAACTAATAGTTATTGGTTCGCGTCACACGGCTGTATACACACCACAGAGCAAAAATCAGATGGATGTCTTTGTCCTCTTGCTCTCTGTTAACCTGGCCTTACCACACCACCGTACTCATTTCATTTCATACTAAGGTCTGGATTTGCTCCATTGAGCCCCGTTGGCAGGTGGGAGGGGTTAACTCCTTTTGCAGATTGAAACAAATGGATGGTTATGGTATGTAATGCGCTTCGCTAGCATTTAGCCTAGCCATCTCCTTTGCCACAAACGGAGCTAACTGGAAAATAAGGCTTTTGCCAAAACCTGTGGGGAGTAGAACCACAACATCTCTGCAGCAATAACATTTGCCAAACATTACTCTTGCTCTGGCTGAAAACTTGATATTTGGAGCGAAACCAGAACGGATTGAAGTGCTTCCTTTACTATCGAATTTGCCGCCAAACTTCAACCAGCAAATTCTGTGATAACTCTTGACGTCACCGACACCTCACTACATCACCCGCCTCCCCCTCTCTCTGATTGGTCGGTTGGGATACAGCCAAGGTAACTGCAGCTACTAGGATCAGGGTTTGAACTCACAGCGATCCCGAAGCGTGTGACTTTGTTCCGGTCGCAGATGCTGATGGCGGTGTCTCTGATGTTGCTGTCGTGGGATTCTCCGTCCGTCACGACCACCATCACGTTGGGGGCTTTGGAGCGACCGCCGTACGCCTCAGTGAACAGGAACATGCTGAACACACACACACTCATCAGAACTACACGGTACAGGATGGACGTCAGACACCAGGACCTCCACAGCAGCCAAATTGACGGCTTTTAGTTTTGGAAGCGTAATGACATTTTTGGTCACAGCTCTGGAAGGGACCAGAGAGAGATCAGAGAGAGAAACCGGAGATGGACCAAAGAGAGACCAGAGAGGGGCCAGAGAGAGACCAGAGAGAGACCAGAGAGAGACCAGAGAGAGACCAGAGAGAGACCAGAGAGAGAGACCAGAGAGAGACTAGAGAGAGAGACCAGAGATGGACCAGAGAGAGACCAGAGAGAGACCAGAGAGAGAAACCGGAGATGGACCAAAGAGAGACCAGAGAGGGGCCAGAGAGAGACCAGAGAGAGACCAGAGAGAGACCAGAGAGAGACCAGAGAGAGACCAGAGAGAGAGACCAGAGAGAGACTAGAGAGAGAGACCAGAGATGGACCAGAGAGAGACCAGAGAGAGACCGGAGAGAGACCAGAGAGAGACCAGAGAGAGAGACCAGAGAGAGACTAGAGAGAGAGACCAGAGAGAGACTAGAGAGAGAAACCAGAGATGGACCAGAGAGAGACCAGAGAGACCAGAGAGAGACCAGAGACAGAACAGAGAGAGACCAGAGATGGACCAGAGAGAGAACAGAGTGATACCAGAGAGAGAAACCAGAGAGAGACCAGAGAGAGAGACCAGAGACAGAACAGAGAGAGACTAGAGAAATTCACTAACTTTCAATAATTCTGTCTGAAAACTAAGACCTCTCAGCTTTCCGTTGGTTTTAATGGGAGCAGTCAAAATCATGCCTCTGGGAGTTTAGTATAGTTTCAGAAGTCCGGTATTCCTGATGCTAAACCCGATCTTTGCTTACGGCTGTGACTGTGATGTGGCAGATTGATGGTGTCCGCTCACCAGGCGTGCTGCAGGGCGTTGAAGGTGTTGGTGGAGGCGCCGTACATCTGCGTGATCTGAGACGCCGCCTCAAACACCTGATTGTTACTGCTGCTGTAGTCGCTCAGACGGAACTCCACCTGGACGCCCACAGAGTACTGCATCACACTGACCTGGGGGGGAGAAGGTACTATGAGACTATAGGCCCACAAGGAACCAGCAAGGACCCAGCAAGGAACTCAGCAAGGAACCATCAAGGAAGCTAGCAATGAACCAACAAGGAAGCCAGCAAGGGACCAGCAAGGAGCCAACCAGGACCCAGCAAGGAACCAGCAAGGAACCAACAAGGAACTCAGCAAGGAACCAACAAGGAACTCAGCAAGGAACCAACAAGGAACTCAGCAAGGAATCAACAAGAAAGCCAGCAAGGAACCGGCAAGGAACCAGCAAGGACTCCATAACCATACCATGCATCTGGGGGTCGCAGAACGAATACAGAGAGCAATGAAAAATGAAAAAGTACATTATAAACAGAACCAGAGAGAGAGAGACCAGAGAAAGACCAGACAGAGAACAGAGAGAGACCAAAGAGAGAGAGCAGAGAGAGATAGCAACCAGAGAGACTAGAGAGGGACCAGAGAGACCAGAGAGAGACCAAAGAGAGACCAGAGAGAGGTACAGTACCCGTGTTTTGTCCCAGCCGATGTCCAGGGAGGGGATGAGCTTCTTCAGAAACTCGTTCATGGGGCCCCAGGGGTAGATGCTGTTGGATCCGTCCAGGACGATGACGATGTCCATGGGAACACCACACTCTGAAATCACAAACAGGATTTATTTATTCTCTGTTCACAACTCTCAAACTCTACTAAAGAATTCAGATTTTTTTTCCCTCTCAGAGCCGAGACTTAAGTGTGTGCGTTTGGCTCTTCATGAAGCTCAACAGTAGAAATAATATCATCAGATCAAATCCTAAATGTAGACCAATACATTTGACCAACCCTTTTATCCCAGTTGCCGTTGGTATTTCCAACTCTGGTCTGTCTCTCTGGTCTCTCTCTGGTCTCTCTCTCTGGTCTCTCTCTCTGGTCTCTCTCTCTGGTCTCTCTCTCTGATCTCGCTCTCTGGTCTCTCTCTATAGTCTCTCTCTGGTCTCTCTCTCTAGTCTCTCTCTGGTCTCTCTCTGGTCTCTCTCTGGTCTCTCTCTCTCTGGTCTCTCTTCCTATGGTCTCGCTCTCTGGTCTCTCTCTCTGGTCTCTCTCTCTGGTCTCTCTCTCTGGTCTCTCTCTGGTCTCTTTCTGGTCTCTCTCTCTGGTCTCTCTCTCTGGTCTCTCTCTGGTCTCTCTCTCTGGTCTCTCTCTCTGGTCTCTCTCTCTGGTCTCTCTCTCTGGTCTCTCTCTGGTCTCTCTCTGGTCTCTCTCTCTGGTCTCTCTCTGGTCTCTCTCTGGTCTCTCTCTGGTCTCTTTCTGGTCTCTCTCTCTGGTCTCTCTCTCTGGTCTCTCTCTTTCTAGTCTCAGTGGATTCTCTTACTTTGTACAGCCGGAGAAAACGGTGGCAGAGGCTGGAACAGGGGACTCATTTTGGTGCAGATTCCGGGAACAAAGTCCTGCTCCCCACAGCGCTGGGCCCACAGCGGACCACAAGTCTACGAGACACAAGACACAAACACAAATCAATAATTTCATGTCCGAAGCGAGCAACCGATTATTCACCGTATTTTTAACACAAGCATAATTATGATCTCAAAGACTACTTCAGGTTAGACAGAGGGCCACATGACATGACAAACAGGGCCGCATTTGGCTTGGGGGCCTCAGCTTGAGAGAGAGCCCAGAGAGAGAAACCAGAGAGAAAACACAGAGAGAGACAGGAAAGAGACCCAAGAGAGATCAGAGAGAGGAAGAGAGACAGAGAGAGAGACCACAGAGAGAAACCAGATAGAGACCAAAGACAGAGACCACAGAGAGAGACCACAGAGAGAGACCAGAGAGAGACCACAGAGAGAGACCACAGAGAGAGACCACAGAGAGAGACCAGAGAGAGACCACAGAGAGAGACCACAGAGAGAGACCACAGAGAGAGACCAGAGAGAGACTAGAGAGAGAGATCAGAGAAAGAGACTAGAGATCTTCTGTGCGTTAGGAAAGGAGGAGAGGGAGAGAGGAGGAGAAGAGGAGGAGAAGAGAAGAGAGGAGGAGAGAGAGACCAGAAAGAGACCCGAGAGAGATCAGAGAGAGAGAGAGAGAGAAAAACCAGAGAAAAACCAGAGAGAGACCAGAGAGGTAGACCGCAGAGAGAAACCAGATAGAGACCAGAGTGAGAGAACACACAGAGAGACCAGAGAGAGAGACCAGAGAGAGACCAGAGAGAGAGAGGCCAGAGGGAGAGACCAGAGAGAGGGACTAGGGATCTTCTGTGCGTACCATGAATCCGTTGACCGCTGGTATCCTGGTGAGGGTCAGGCCCAGAGTCATGTTGTCACTGATTTCATGGACTCCAGGAAAACTTACCGAGTCTGGAAACAGAGACGAATCATATATGTTTTTTTGTTTTTTCTTTTACCAAAAGAAGACATAATTATACACCATATAAGCAGAGAGACGGCCGTTTTAACTGGACACAACATGATGACAGTGACAATGTGTTAGCTCAACCGTTAGCTTCCATCACTTTTTCACCTTAATCTGTTTTGACATCCCAGCTGATATAAAAGTGTCTTATAGCTGCTAAAACTGGATTGAGTCAAAATAACAGCTCTAACAAAAGCCTGACTCCACCAAAGTATAAATACACATATTAGGGTCCAAACAATTATTTTAAAAAAAGTAGCAGCTGTGGAAATTATGGTATTTGGTTGTGCATTGAGAGGGATCAGAAAGAGAAAAGAGAAGTGAAAGAGAGATACCAGAGAGAGAGACCAGATAGAGACCAGAGAGAGACCAGAGAGAGACCAGAGAGAGAGACCAGAGAGAGACCAGAGAGAGACCAGAGAGAGAGACCAGATAGAGACCAGAGAGAGACCAGAGAGAGAGACCAGAGAGAGACCAGAGAGAGACCAGAGAGAGAGACCAGAGAGAGAGACCAGAGAGAGACCAGAGAAAGACCAGAGAGAGAGACCAGAGAGAGACCAGAGAGAGAGACCAGAGAGAGAGACCAGAGAGAGACCAGAGCGAGACCAGAGAGAGACCAGAGAGAGGCCAGAGAGAGAGGCCAGAGAGAGGCCAGAGAGAGACCAGAGAGAGACCAGAGAGAGCAGACCATTGACAAACTACATGGATTTTATATATATTTAAAAATCTTAGGTCCTCTATCATAGAGCTTGAGGGTTCTGTTCATGGCGCTGCACATTCCTGGGTCGAGATTTCCGAGGTGGGTCCAAAACCCCAGCTTTAAACGTGAGAGTCAGTGGTGAAGCCGTACCTTGGATATTGAGCTTGTCGCAGGTGTTTCTGGAGCCGGAGACTGGGCACTTGTACACGTCGCCCTTTCGGTTCTGGCCGTAGCCGCTCCAAGGGGCCCCGACCAGGAGCCTGGGAGAGAGGAGGAGAGAGGAGGAGAGAGGAGGAGAGGGAGAGAGGGGGAGAGAGAGAGACAGAGAGAGGAACATGTAGGTGACATCACAGTTGATATAAAAGGGGCTTATCTCACTGTGGGGGTCTCTCTGTCTGTGGACCCTTTCTCTGACACCATGTAACTGACGATCTCTCTAGTCTCTCTGTCGTCTCTCTCTGGTCTCTTTCTGCTCTCTTTCTGGTCCCTCTCTGGTTTCTCTCTCTCTTGTCCCTGTCCGGTCTCTGCCTGTGGATCACTTCTCTGACATCCTGCTGAGGGCCAGAAACTCACTCTTTCTGGTCTCTCTGGTCTCTCTCTGGTCTTTCTTTCTCTGGTCTCTCTCTTGTCCTTCTCTGGTCTCTCTCTGGTCTCTCTTACTAGTCTCTCTCTCTGTCTTTGTTTGTACACATGCTTTCTTTTCTATTGTTTCTGTATGTATATTTCACCTGTTTAGTGTCATTAAACATCCTCTCTTATATCCATTTGCTTTATGCCTAATAGTTTAAGATGAACAGATCCTGTATTGGTCCCACAGCGGGGGAAAATGTCAGTGTTGCATCAGAAGTTGAGGAGCACACAGCACAAGATAAATTAACTATAACTAACTCTATACTAAACTAAAGTAAAAATGTAAAACCCTGTGTTTCAGTCTCTGCCTCAGACTGCTCTGGGTTCTCTCCGTGATCTGACAGGACGCTGCAAGTGTAAACTCATCAACATTCTTATTACTGGTGACTCAATCAGCATCAAGCTCCGAGAAAAACCTCATTTCTGACTCAGCAAAAAAGTAGAGCAACACACTACAACACAACATACACACAGGGCCTGGTTAGTGCTGTGATGGGAGACCTCTGGGAACACCAGGGGCCACAGTGGGGCGACTGCGGTTGTAAACTTTAAAGTGGTCTATGGGGATGTCCTTTGGCAAGACACTTCCCCCAAATTAGAATGAGTCTGGTGTGTGTGTGAATGGCTGGTGGTGGTGGGAGGGGCTGATGGCACAGACTGGTTGCCTCGCTTCTGTCAGTGTGCCCCAGGGCAGCTGTGGCGACAGTAGTAGTTTATATCACTGTGTAGGAGTGAATGAATAATAACATGTGAAGAGACTTTGAGTGTTCTGAAAAGCTCTGTATAAACCCCCGATGCATAATCAATACTCTCTGGAAACGGCCTCTGCCACCAAGCATTGTGGGGATTTCAAAATGCACGGAACATTCTCAGGATTATTACATTTAAATCAGAAATTCATCCTCGAAATCAGTTTTCAATTAAACTCAAAATTCTTACTCCTCCAAACACGACAAGTTGAGTTTTTAAATGTTTTTGTGGAGTTTTTACTAGACTCGTCTGGCTCTGCATTCACACAACACTAAACCTACTGTGAAGCATGGGGGTGGAAACATCTTACTTCGGAGCTGTTTTTCCGTAAAGGCACCAGGACGATGGATGAGCAACAGTGTTTTTGTTCAGAGTTGACAGACAGCGGTCCCTGTGATCAGAGTGACTCAGGGACATGTGTGAGTCACGGAGAATAAACATGGTTCAGAGTCTGACTAAAGGACGGGGACGGTGAAAGGATTTCGCAATTCATGACTTTTTTGTCCTTGGGCAATATAATGATTATAAATGTGTTTTACACCAATAAAGCTGAAGTTTGTGAAGAAGAGAAAATAGATTGAACACAACAACGTAAATAATTGCTACATACATTTCTATCTTAACCTTTCGGTCACGTCCCACTGGGAGGAGACCAGGGGAACACCAGGACATGTTGGAGCCAAACATTTTTATTATGCCGTCTTGGAGGACTTATCAAAGTTATCAATTCCTCAACAACAGATCAGAGAATCAAACAGGAAATGTAACAATAACAAAACACATAGAGCCATTGTTCCAGAAGGAGCAGAGACCAATGTCCAGAAATGTTAATAAAGTCCAAAGAGAAAGTCAATAAATTCCATAAATGTTGTCAAATCTCCGGCTCTATCGTCTCGTACAGACTTGAGACATTATAAAACCCTCACCATTTGCCCTCGTGGTTCGTTGCCTGCTGCACTGCGTAGCCAAACTCCTGCTGAGCGGGTCCAGAGAAGACCTGGGCCCCTGAAGACCCGATGTTGTAGCAGAGAGAGAGTCTGGCTCTGTCTGCGACTGCAACAAGAACACGAGCAAAAAGGTTCAAAATGAATCAAAACATGTTGATATAGATTTCGGGCCGTTGGAAAAAAAGCCCTGGTAAGTAGCTTCAGTGACAAACTTATTCACCCTCACTGTGAATAAGTCTGTCACTGAAGCTCTCTTTTCTCACTTTCTCTAGTCTCTCTCTGGTCTCCCTCTCTAGTCTCTCTCCGGTCTCTCTCTGCTCTCTCTCCAGTCTCTCTCTGCTCTCTCTCCAGTCTCTCTCTGGTCTCTCTCCGGTCTCTCTCTGGTCTCTCTCCGGTCTCTCTCTGGTCTCTCTCTCTCTCTGTCTTTGTGTGTATGTATGGTTTCTGTATGTATATTCCAACTGTTTAGTGTCATTAAACATCCTCTTTTAAATATATTTGCTTTATGCCTAATATATATGAAGATTAAAAGATCCTTTATTTATCCCACAGTCGGGGAAATTTCAGTGTTGCATCAGCAGTTACAGACCAGTAAGACTGAGGAGAACTAATATAGTCACCATAGCATTGTTGGCCATGTAACACTTCATCTCTCAAAGGCAACACATACAGTATCATCCTCACATTTATTCTCAAGACACACACATATTCATTAAATACAGTGACACACACACACACACACACACAGTCTTTAAAAGCCCTCAGAGCGGTGTCAAACACAGTCATTTGCGTGTGTTTGTGCAGCGTCACGGACAAGTCCTCACAGGCTGCGCGTTCTCGTCACCGGGAAGAATGTACAGGTTCTCGGCGCGTTCAGAGCAGCTCCAACAAATATTTATAACACGCAAACTTTTCCACATGTTTGTCAACCCCCAAACCGCAAAAAAAGTAAAAAAAAGAAAGTAAACTCTATCTATAGACATTTATTAATATCTTATGGACATTGGTCTCTGCCGCTTATGGACCAATGGCTCTATGTGTTTTTTATCATTGCATTTTCTGGGATTGAACTCGATGATTCTCTGATCTGTGTTGGCGAATCGACAACTTTGTAACTACTGCTAACATGTACAGATACAGACATACAACTATATGTTCCTAGCACTAGAATATACAGCATTTTTATCAGATTCTGTTTTATGCTAAAGTTAAAGATTTGATACTAACTTCTTTATCATGCTAAAATTTGTACTATTTTTTTTATTTTAGTATAGAATTATTGTCATTTATCTTGTGCCGTGTGCTTCTCATTCTTACTGTTCTGTAACTGGTGATGCAACACTGGAATTTCCCCATTTCATGAATAAAGGATATCTTAAAATAAAATGAATTGAATGATGTGGTGAGAAACAGACACGGTTCATTCCCTCAACTCACACTATCCCCTGCAGTGTCAAATATGGGGGTGGTAGCATCATGTTGTGGGGCTGCTTTTCTTCAGTAGGGACAGGGAAGAGTGTAAGGGTTGATGGGAAGGTGGTTTGTTTTTCATCGGGACAATTTCCTTAAACATATTTTTTATTCAATGGAGTGGTTTGAAAGTTAAAGTGATTGTCTGGAGTTTGTCAGAAAGAGAGACAGAGAGGTACTTGATTTGAAAAAAACGACGCAAGCTCCCTCCCCCTTCCTTTCTGATTGGTCTACACCTACGTTTCCGTAACACTTTGAAATGTTAATCAGAGAACACATTATACATATACAGTACATTATTAATACACATGCACGGAGGTTTTCAGAATTATTTGTGAACGTTTTAATGAAAAAAATAATGCACAAAAAAAGCGATCGCTGCAAACCAGGAAGTGCTATTATCATGAATTGAACATTATAGGACACATCTGCAGAGGATCTGATTATGGATATAGGTTCAGTATATACATAAGTACCTCAGCGTGGATGTTCAGAATTCTTTGTTCAGTTTTCATGTTGTTCCAGAGCCTAATAGAGGCTTGATTCGGAGGCTCCGCAAAAACAAACAACTGAGCATGCGCGCAGCTGCGAGCATCAGCGCCGATGATTGACAGCCCTTGGCATGACTCGATTGGTTAACCTCGACGGCACCGTGGATTCTGAACTATAGCTAAGAGCAGGGAAGGCGGGACTTTCCCGTAATATTAGAATTAATAAAATGACTTATTTTATATCAACAGGTCTAAAAACTGCCGTTCCATAAAATGTGAATTGGGGGGAATAATCTTTATATCTGCCTCTAGATGTGCAAATCTTTTAGATAAAGTAAGGTTTTAAATGGCGCTTTTTTGGACGCTCCAAGACTGTGTTAAAAAATATGTAATTATTCTTTAACTCCAGACAGTAGCCACATCTGCCCTGGGCCAAACTGACAGAAGCGAGGCAGACAGTATGAGCCATCGGCCCCTCCCACCACCACCAACGATTGCGCAGTGACCCACAGAGAAAACACTACATTTTTACCGAAACATCACAAGCTGAATGCGCCCCACAAAATATGATTACCTTTGACAACGCAAACTGTAGGTATGTTGAACAGTGTCTACTTCAAAATGAATCACCAAAACAGAATTTGTCTTAATATTTTAAACTTTTTTTGTAACTTCGGCCCCAGACCACGTTTTGCCCAGGGCCCCGATAGTGTGAAGTTACGGCCCTGCACCAGTCCATAGAGCTCCAGGCGACGTATTTACGCACTCAGCTCATGCCTTGTTCAGAGCGGTGTAAGTGACAGGTGGATCAGACATACAGCTATGAGGCGTGGACAGGACTTAAGTCACTTGTATATAATGTAAAGTTAAGCTTATTTGTATCGCACAAACACGATCACACTAATCAAACAAGGCATTCAAATCATAAATCACAGTATTTTTTTTAGTAAGAGTCAAGACAAAACCCTTCAGTCGTATGCACAGCCACAGAGAACTGTTTTCAACCTGATTTGGAACATGGTCAGAGAAGAAGCTTGTCTCACATTTTCAGGAAGACTGTTCCAGATTGTGGCTGCAAAATACTGAAATCTCAAAGCTATGCCGAATATTCTCCCTTTAAATAGAAAAAAGTTTGAATTTGTCCCAACAGAAAGTCTACAACAGGCTGTCTCCGTCTAAAACATGTAATATAATGCACGTAAGAAAAATCCCCGTGAGTCACTATTGACGTTTTAGGGGTGAATGCTGATTGGCTGAGCCAGAGTCATGTCTTTTCTGTGTGAAAATCTAAAGCTGTGAAAGAGCCTTAAAAATTAATGCTTGTGAAAACTAGTAATAAAACTTTTTTGGGAGCGAGGAACTATAGTTAGACGGTGTTCCTTTTTGTTGTGAGTTGAAAGTCAGGTACCCCAGCTTCACCCACTCACAATTCCTAGTCTTGTGCAGCTCTGGGTAGATAATGTTCCCTTTGGCATCCAGTTATTGGCTTCCTCTAATTCCCGAAACTCCAGAGGCGAGATTCAACAAACCATTTTACACATGCCATACGCGCGTCAGACAAGAGCAGAGCAGAGATAGATCTAATTACGCGAAATCCAATTACGACAACAGTAATCGACTAAAAACCTGCAAATATTTAGTTATATGCATTGCTTAGTGAGTTTGGATGGACTCACCCAGGAGCAGGAGGGTGCAGATGAGAGTCCCAGGGGAGCGCTCCATGGTCGAGTGAGAGGCTGGTGCGTGTGGCGGTGGTAGCGGTGCTGGGGTGAGAGAGGCGGCGGTTGGGACCCTCCTACCAGGACACTTACCTGGAGGTTGCCCGTGGAGGAGATGGGAAGGGGAAGTCCAGCTGATGTGTATTTGTGTGTTGTGGATGCGGTGTGGTGTTGTAAACAGAGATATGTGATCGATTCAGATTTTACGCATGGCTTAGATCAGGGGTGTGTCCAAACTGCGGTCCCCGTGCAATATACGGCCCTAAACTAGTTGTGATTGGTCGGCACAGTTTTTACATAATTAAAATAGGAAAAAGTAGCAAAAAAGGCTTTAGTCAAATGGCACTAATTAGGAGTGTGTTTGCGTGTCTGCATATGTGTGTTTGTCTATGTGTGTGTATGTATTTGTGTGCATGTGTGTGTGCGGATGTGTTTGTGAGCGTGCATGCGTGTGTTTATTTGTGTTCATGTGTGTGCGTGGGTGTGTATGTGTGTGTGTGTGTTTGAGTGCGCGTGTGTGTGTGTTGGTGTGTCGGTGCATATGTTTGTGTTTGTATGTGTATTCTTGTGCGTGTACGTGGGTGTGTGTTTTTGTGTGTGCATGCGTCTGTGTGTGTATTCATGTACGTGTGAGGATGTGTATGTGTGTGTGCATGCATCGGTGCGTGTGTGTGTTTGTGCGTGTGTCAGTGCATATGTTTGTGTATATATGTGTGTTCATGTGTGTGCATGTATGCGGGTGTGTGTGCATGTGTCTGTGTGTGTATTCATGTGCGTGTGTGTGTTCATGTACGTGTGAGGATGTGTATGTGTGTGTGCATGCATCGGTGCGTGTGAGGATGTGTGTGTGTGTGTGTGCATGCATCGGTGCGTGTGTGTGTGCGTGTGAGGATGTGTGTGTGTGTGCATGCATCGGTGCGTGTGTGTGTGCGCGTGTGTGTGAGACAGACTGAGGCAGAGGAGAAGACAGGATGTACACACAATTGTCCCTCTCTTCTTTTGGGCCTCTGGAAAGAATCCGCTGCTGTTTCGCTCAGACACAGAACCAGGGCTTTCTGCGGCTTCCTAATCCTTCACCGATCTCCAATCATTAAACTTCAGACAGACAACAAAACTGCCTTTAACTTTGGGTTTCGTTGGGCAAGTGTGGAGTTTTTATTATTATGCATTTCCTTGTATGACTGTGAGGACTGAAGATGAGTTTCTCCCAGTGGGTAGTGTTGGTCATCCCTTATTTAGACTGGAGTCACAAAATAAAAGGTATAAACAACCGGTGAGCCAAACAGGAAGTGTGTCACCGGCACCTTTTGAACCGTGACACACACATGAACCACACGTCAAGGATTCTGAAATTACTAAAACTCCCACATCAGTCATTTATATGTTTCTTAGAAGTTTATTTTACTAGAATATACAGCATTTATACTTGCTTCTTACTATGCCAAAGGTAGAGATTTTTTACATCTTCATTATGCTAAAGCTAGAGATGTAATTGCTTATTTTTTATGCTAAAGTTAGAGATTTTATTTATTATACACACATTTATTGTTCATTTATCTTTTTCCGTGTGCTCCTCATTCCTCTTGTTCTGTAACTGATGATGCAACACTGGAATTTCCCCACTTTGGGACGAATAAAGGATCTCTTCATCTCAATCTTATTTCTTGATGATACCAATTCAGACGTTTTTTTGGGGGGAATTCAGAAAAAATCTCCCAAAAAGTTAGTTTTCATCAGTTTTATTAGAAGTAGGTAATAATAGGGTGTTTACCTTTATCCTATGTTGAAAATCTTAACAGAAAAAACTGCTGCAAGTAGACAACATGTTGCTATGGTAACTATGCTCAGAGTCCAGGACCAGCACCTTGAAGCATATTTCATAATCATAATAACATAGAAATAAACTACATACAGTATAGAAACAGAAAAACTGTCATTGTGTCCTTTGGCAAGACACTTCCCCCACATTAGAATGAGTCTGGTGTGTGTGTGTGGATGGTTGGTGATGGTGGGAGGGGTCATTGGCACAGACCGGTTGCCCCGCTTCTGTCAGTGTGCCCCAGGGCAGCGGACTCATTGTAGGCATTGTGGGTGAAGTGTCTTGCCTAAGGACACTACGGCATTTTGCTTGGCACTTTACATCCACCTGTTCCCAGAGGTCTCCCATCACAGTACTAACCAGGCGCCGCCCTGCTTAGCTTCAGAGGTCTGACGGGATCTGACTTTGCGCATCCAGGTTTAGCCACTTGCATTAAATATAAATATTACATCTGAACTCTGAACATAAGTGCTTTGGGCGACCCTGCTCTGTTAAATGCGCTATATAATTAAACATAACTTTCTACTCACTAAAAAACTATAATAATCTAACCCTTTTGGATTGATCAGTCTCAGAGCACATGCAGTTGGAGCCGGTGTGAGCTTCTCTAATCCTAATGCTGACCAAAGGAATGCCAGTGTAATGCGGGTGAGTCAGGCCGGACTCACAAAGGACCCACACAGCACCACAACACCCACTGCTACACACTGCTACACACTGCTACACACCGCTTTTATCTTTATGCTACAATATGGCCTGATGCCGTTTGCTAGCAGTGATGTCATCAGAGAGTCGGGGAAATAGTGACCAAATAAGTAAGAAGTGTGTTGTGTTGTTTTGTTATTGGGTTTGAGGACAATACTTACACTGGAAAAAATCCTTTGAAAAAAATAAGAAAAAAAAACAAATAAGTAAAATACTACTTAAAATAGAAGAAAAAAAATATGTTTCAAAACAAGATAATATGACTTGACAAGATTTCTGAAATTAAGAAAATAATACTAGCCCCAAATGACTTGATTAAAACATATTTTGTTATTTACTTATTTATTCAACATTTTTGATAATTATTTTCTTACATTAAAGAATCACAAACTTATTTTTTCAAAAACAAGCATCAAAAAGTCAAAAGTCATAACCTTTTTCTCTAATGAGATTATAAAGTACAAAGTGGCAAAAAAAAACTTCCAAACTGCCATTCCAAAATATGCATAATTTGTGTTCTTTTTAGAGAATAAATCGTGCCAATATTATACTTTTTTCAGTGTATCAAGAATGTGCTGCTTCCTGTGGAGTAAAGCAGTGTTCCCCGACCTCAGTCACATGACACACCACCACCGGCTGGAACTGAACAAACATGTATCTCTGCAGCCGTTATCAACAAAACAAATTCAATCTCATCAAAGTTTATAACATAGAAAATCAAAGAAGTATATTTAATCTTCTGTGTATTTTTTTATTTCACATTATTTTGACTGATTTGGTGATTTTGGATAATTTTCAAAGACACACTGGATTAAAGAATATACTTTAAATCAGCTCTGATTCTGTACAAATCTCTCCGTGGCCTCGCACCAGAGGACGTCTGTGACATGTTAGAGCCCTATGAACCAACTCTGAGGAGCACAGGGACCGGCCTCCTGCTGGGACTCTGAGGAGCACGGGGACCGGCCTCCTGCTGGGACTCTGAGGAACACGAGGACCGGCCTCCTGCTGGGACTCAGGGTCAGGACTAAACACGGGAAGGCAGCGTTTCAGATTCATGCTACTAAAATCTCACAATCTTCCTGAAAATGTGAGACAGGCTTCTTTTCTAACAATGTTCAAATCCAGGTTAAAAACAGTTCAGTTTTGCTGCACCAACTGAAGGATTTTATCATCACTCTTCTCTTTTCATTTAGACGTTTTAAACACAAACAGAAACATTTTTTTTCCATGGCTGGTCTTGTTTATCAAGGCTTAACAATGGGCTTTAGTAATTTTCCACAAGTATCACTGGCGAAAATTGGGAAAAAGTGGGAGTCAAGGGCTGCATCCAATTTCAGCAAAAAATCTCCTTCCTTGGCTTTAAAAGGAGCTTTTTCAGATCCAGCCTCCAGGAGTTTATCAAGTGATATTTAACACAATTTAAACGAGTTTATAATGCCACAAAAATTTAAAACCAACACAAAAAAAAGACACAAAAAAGGTGAGGAAGTATTTTTTTGAATTTGGATGCAGCCAAAGTGCCCCGTTCACACAAACAGGACCGGAGCCCACAGACCACTAGAGGGAGGCAGTTTCTTTCCAATGAAGCTTTAAAGGAGACTAAATGGACTTTTGAGCCACGTTACATTGTTCCCTCATCAAAAAGAGAATGTTCCTGATTCTTTTTGTTAATTTAAGAGAAGCAGAAACCTCCAACTGTTAGGCTTTGAGGAATACAAGAGCGAATAAGTCGTTTTTATAACTAATTGATACATCCCATCACTTTACATGGTGGGATCCATTATTCGTCCCACAGTGAAGACTATTTAATCAAATCAACCAAATCAAATTTTGGATATTTCTGTGAAGTAATTAAAATTATAAACAGATCTCTCTTGATCTTTGTCTTAAATGTTTATCAAAACCATCAGTGTGATTTAAAACACATCGCTGTCTCGATTCTTTCATCCAATCACAACTCAGGGACCAGGGACCTCAGCCCGAGTCAGTCTTGAGCAGCAGTCAGCGTGGGGGCGAATCTGAGCCGTCAAAATGACTGGTTTGGGAGTTCTAGTAGTTTCAGAATACTGGGAGTCCTTGTGTTAATGTGTGACTCATGTGTGTGTGTGTCACCCGCTGCTTCCAAAGTGACGGTGACTCACTTCCGTTTAGCCAACCAGTCGTTCACCTTTTATTTCCAATTATACACTTTTTATGTAGTTTGTGATGTTGGTCTCTATCTGTGGGGTCCAATCTGTGGCCTGAGAGACAAAATAGGCCATTAGACCATTTTTGTCGGTTCCTATTACTCTAGCATTCGTTCATCCACAACTCAGGAACTAGTGACCGGAGCTTAAGTCTCAACCTAAATCTCAGCCCATGTTCTGCCCGAGTCTCAACCAACCTCAGCCCAAGTCTCAGCCCGAGTCTTGTCACAAACTGGCTCGAGGTTCGGACAAAAATGGAGTCCACACGTTTCAAAATGTACAAAAATAGAA